ACAAACCGTCTCTGGACCCCTGAGTTGAAAATGTTGTCATACTAATGCTTACTTTTCCTACACGGATCCTGTAAAATTGGCCAGCCTATGGCACAAACGATTGGGTCATCTTCACCCCGATGCTGTGATTTCTTTTCTTCGCCGATTCAAATCCATATCTATCTGTCGTAAAGATTTTCTTCCCTGTGACGCTTGTGCGATGGGCAAATTAACTCAGTCTCCATCCACCTCCTCATTTCATCGTTCACCTGATTTACTCAACATTGTACATAGTGATCTCCTCGGTCCTATATCCCCAGCCACGAAATCTGGTTTCAAATATGTTGTCACTTTCATTGATGATCATACTCGATATACTCAAATATACCTTCTGAAATCCAAAAATCAAACATTTGAGTCTTTCAAACATTACAAAGCCTTGATGGAGAAAAAGTGTGCAAGAAAGATTCTCAAATTAAAATCTGATCGAGGAGGGGAGTACTCGTCAAATGATTTTCTTCAATATCTTAAAGAAGAAGGCATTGAGATTGAACGAGGACCAGCTGAACGTCCTACAGCCAATTCAGTTGCTGAACGTTTTGGTCGAACGTTTTTAGGGAGGATACGCTCTCAACTGATTCACTCAGGTCTCCCGCTTCATCTTTGGGGGGAACTGGCAAAGTATTGCGTACTTCAGATTAATTGTTCTCCACATGCCGCATTACAGCACAAAACTCCGATGGAAACTCTTGAAGCTCTCCTTCCTGGCCATGTTCATCCATTCGATGTTGATCGTTTCAAGCCTTTCGGTTCACTCTGTTTCGCAGTGGACAGAAGTCGAAAATCAAAAGTTGGTCCATTGGCTAGGCGTTTCATCTTTATTGGACTAGAAGAGGGGGCAAGAGCAGCTCGTCTCTGGGACAAGCAAACTGGTCGTGTATTTGTCACGGGGGATGTAGTCTACCAAGAAGAAACCTTTCCTGGTTTACATCCGACTTTATCACCTAATGTTCCGGAGGAACTACTGCTGCCTGAATTTACCAATTCGGTAGCCCCATCCAAGATTACCCCAGTTCCGGAGACTGAATCTGAAGAATCTTCACCAGCCAAGGGTTCCAACATCCCTTCTACTCCGATTAGAGCGGATTCACCAATCATAGATTCACCTAATCAGACGCCACCTCGACCGAATCTTTCCATTCACAATTCTCCTTCTGTTTCATCTCCGGTCTATCCTAAGGTTCGGATTCCACTGAGTGCCTCAATTCATGCTCCGAGGTTAGCCGTCGAGTCTCCGAACCGTTTTGAACAGTTACGGGATTTGGTACCAGTCACTCCGCCCCAACGATATGATGTTTATCGTGAGACTGATGTATTGGACACTCCGTCTGATCCATCGATCCATTCATCGGCTCCTTCAGTAAATCTCTCTCCTACTCCTAATCGCACGGAAACAGAAGATTTTCAGAAACCAATTTCAATTAACTCATCTCCCTTATCATCCGTTTCCTCCGTCCGGGTGTCGTCTAGGTCTGGAACTCCTAATCAACCATCAGACCAACAGCCACTGGATGAATTGGTTCAACAAGTTGAACCGGTTGTGAAGTCTTCTCCCTCTCCCGAACCTTCCCCGATTCCAACACCTCAGCCATCTCCGAGACCACCATCACCGCCTCCACAGCCTATACCTCCTCCAGCGCCTACACGCCGCTCTGGACGTACTAAAAAGGCGCCTGTTCGATACGGTTTCCCTTCGACTTCTGTGGCAACTACCTCCCAATTTGGTCCAATGATTGTTACTAATACAAGATCAATCATCCCTGATCGTTGGGGTTTCTCTGCGACCACTGGAACGGATCCCGACAGTCCAACCTATACTCAGGCGATGGCTAGTCCAGATAAACAAGCCTGGCTTCATGCGATGGAAGAGGAGTTCAAGTCTCTCATGGACCATTCTGTTGGAAAGCTGGTCGATCCTCCTCCAGATGCTAACGTTCTTGGGGGGATGTGGATCTTTAACAAGAAGCGAGACGAGCACAATCGAGTTATACGTTTTAAAGCTCGTTGGGTGGTTCTTGGTAATCATCAGATCAAGGGCCTTGACTATAATGATACCTATGCATCGGTCGGCAAGATTGACTCACTACGAATTCTACTTGCTTTGTCAATTGCTAGAGCCAAAGGTAACAGACGTACTAGGCGAATGAAGATCCGTCAATTTGATGTTGTCACTGCTTTCCTCAACAGTGGTATGAAAGACCTCGTATATGCTCGACAAGTTTTGGGTTTTGAACATCCGACTCAAAGACATCGAGTATGGTTGTTGATCAAATCTCTCTATGGAACGCAACAGGCTGCTCGTCGTTGGCAACAACACTTCGGAGCGACAACAGCCGGTTTTGAAATCTATCCCGTCTCGTCTGACTCAGCCGTCTATGTCTTGAACTGCGCTCTTGGACTACTCATATTACATCTTCACGTCGATGACTCATTAGTGTTTTGTGACAATGATGAGCTTTTCTTCAAATTTCAAACCTTCATCGATTCCAAATACAAACTCAAATGGACCGATCGACCCACATTATACCTTGGGATAAAGCTGGATATTGCTGAAGATGGTTCTTACATTAAAATCTCCCAATCTCACTATATAGAGTCTTGTCTTGAACGATTCGCCATGGTGAACTGCAGGCCGGCGAAAACACCCCTTCCTCAAAAGACTCTACTGACCCCTGGATCGACTGAAGATATCGAAGCAGCCAAAGACATACCTTATCAAGAACTCGTCGGCTGCCTTCAATGGATCTCTGCCTGCACCCGTCCAGACATTTCTTATGCTGTATCACAACTCTCAAAGTATAACTCAGCATGGACGGTATCTCATTGGATGGCTGCTAAGCACGTTTTACGATACTTACGGGGTACCCAAGAGCTTTCAATTACTTACTCTGGGGGGACTGATGAACCTCAAGCTTACTCGGATTCGGATTTTTCACAATGCTCATTAACTCGGAAATCTGTAACCGGTTACGTCATAACTGTATCAAATGGCGCAGTGTGTTGGAAGTCTCAGCGTCAATCAATTGTGGCTCTATCAACTTCTGAAGCTGAATATGTAGCTGCGACCGAATGCTCTAAACATATGGCTTGGGTTCGTTCCTTTTACTTCGACATCATGCATCAGTTAGAAGAACCTTCACCTTTCTACATAGACAACACATCGGCAATCTTTACAGCAACCGGCGATGGTCTAAAGTCAAGATCCAAACACATTGACCGAAGATTTCATTACATTCGTGATCTTATTCAATCAAATCAACTCAAAATCCATCATATTCCGAGTGATGAAATGCTAGCCGATCATTTAACAAAACCATTGGGTCCTCAAGGAATTAGTCATGCTCTGGAATTGAATCACATGATTTAGAAATGTTCTTGAAATAGGGGGGATGTTAAAGTTATCGTTTCATTTATGTATTACATATTACATTTCACAAGTCTGAAACTCAAATGTTGCTATTATTTCATATCTCATTTACTAATATTCATGTGTAGCGCATAAGACCATATGTATGTTGTTTGTTAAGATTCTCATCATTATTAACCTAGTTTGTATTCTCAACTATATCATGTAAACCTCGAAGAGCAACGAAGAAAGCCTCCCTCTTCATCCAAGATATTCTTTTACTTTCTTGGGTGAAAGGTGAGTAGCTCATTCGTGGGATTTTGATTGTAGTTCATTAGATCTGTTCTGAACTTAAATCATCCCTGCTCTGACAGGTGAGTAGCTCATTCGTGGGATTTTGATTGTAGTTCATTAGATCTGTTCTGAACTTAAATCATCCCTGCTCTGACAACACCGACATCAGACTGTTCCACAGTTGGTATGTCTTCTTTGATTTTGTCTGCTTCAAGTTCATCTTCTTCACCAAGTTTTTGAATTTGATCTTGGACTCCTTCTAAGTCCACGACGGAAACAAATGGTAGATCTCCAAGGGAGTCAGGATTCTTTTGATTGATCTTGGCAATGTTGGATTTGATGAACTTTTCTTCTTCAGAGGTAGGCTTGCAAGAGTAAATGAGCCAACTAGTCATTGTTTGAGCGCCTGTAATCAAGGTGAGCTCTCTTCCCAGGAGTTGTGCGCGACCACCATCCTTGTGATTGTCATAGAACCATACCCCTTGAGCACCGTCATTGTGCCTTACCACCTTGGACCAGTAGTGACAATAGCCCCAAAAGCCACGGGATACAATGTGATAGGCGACGTTGTTGAAGGTGAGGGTCTCTGGCCACTGCATATCCTACATGAAACCGTTGTGTTCCTCTTCCTTCAGACCAGCAGCGTTTCCAAGATGAAAGTAGATGTTCATTGGGTTCGTAGTGAAGTCCAATTGAGTTTGCTCGTACAGTTGAGGCAGTCCTTCCGCGTGGTCGGTTCCTTTGTCATCATCAGGATGATCTCTTTGTACCTTCTTTTGCCGTTTGCGGTTCGTTTGGCAGGTTGGGCAGCAGCGAGGGCTGGTAGAGTAAAGGCCTTCGCTGTGCCATAAATAGAGCAGTTTGGTGACATCCAGGTAACGTAAGTTGATGTCACGGAAAAGGTCCGAAGTGATTGAGACACATGTCTGAGTCATGGCATCGCTGGGCTGATGTGCAGCCTCCTTTGGGCATTGATAGTCGCACTGGAGTTGAAATGTGAAGTGACGTTGTGGTGATCAATTTATGGGATCAATTAAAAAATTCACAATTACCAGTTTACCAGTTTATTAGCAGGTTTCAGCAGGAAAGAAAATTCGAAAATGGAGGTTTTTGATCAATTGAAGCTCTTGTAGGCTTATGTATTGGTCATTAGGTCAACATTACATCATTTTTATTTCACATTATACATAAGATCATTATAGTTTACTTACAAATTTATTACAAAAAGAAAGAAAGAAAAACATAAGAAAAATTCAAAAATATAGGTACATAGGTTGGAAAATGGTTTTTAGGTTAGTAAAAATAAAGTTATGGGTATTATGAGGTTAGAATATGAAAGAACAACATTATATTATACTATGACAATTTTAATCTTCAAGGTTGATAAGTAGAAACAAAAGTTATTAGGGAAAAGGTACTTTTTCGAAGTTGGTAAACAAGAGGTACACGTGTAGTTTGGATGTGTAATAGTGGTAGTGATGGAATTTAAGGTTGCCAAGAGGATTTTCCGGGATTTTTAAGGTTATAGATGATGATGTCATATTACATGAGCAAGAAAAAGAGAGTAGTAGCTGTGAAAAGTGAAGAAAATGGGTGAAATTCGTGGAAAATGGAGGTTTTCAGCTAATTACATATGTCAAATGACGTCAGAATAGGTTGGTAGATGGCTCATTCAACGCAGAAGAGTGGATTACATAATATACAAACTTTAAATCATTAGTAACGGAGGTGTGTGTAAAAAGTTATAAGGCAAATAAAGAATTGGTGTGAATCTCGAATTTACAGTCACAAGTCACATGTAACACCAAAAACCTTAACTTCACAACTCAATATCTTACTCATCACTCGTCAGAAGTAGGTCATGTAGGTGTCAGAAATGATCAGTAGCACGTGGGCTACAAGATGCACTTTAGTAATCAAAAATTGGAGCACATCTGAAAAAATTCGTAACCTCAAAAATTGGTTTTCAGCTGGTTTACAAGGAAAAAATCACCTGTATTCATCATAAGAAGTGCTGTACATCATATTATTGCGTCATTGATCACTTTTAGCTGTGAAAATTACATCATTTCTTAGTAACAAAATCATTACATTGCGTCATCATAGGGTTTTTAGGAAATTTTGGGCGGATTTGATTGGTTTTGAGGCTGTTGACCATTGTAAAAGTTCTAGTACATTGTTATATATACTTTGAGAGGGTTTTGGGATTGTTGTTCCCCTTTTTTCTTTATCATTTACGCCATTATTATTTTGTTTATCATCATAAACTTATTTTAATAGTACCTGGTCACTTAAATACGCCCTTTATTACAGCTATAAAGAGAAATTTACTTTAGTATTATAGTCATAAAGACTTATTGGGAATAATATCAATCAGATATTGCTTATTTTCTTTAGTTATCAATTGGGAATAACACTATAGCAGTGTTGATAGTAATACAAAGTGTGCTTTTTGAAGTTAAAATACGTGTGAAGATACATTTCTCTGGTGCCTTATCAGTACTCAATACAACAGAGCTCTTTCTGATTGTGTTGTTTTAGAAGAGCAGTCCTTAGACAACTTCTACTAGTCATTATATTAGTAGATTATCCTCTTCCAGCTCTGTATAACCCTTGTTGGGTTATAAGTTCTACAACGTCCAATTGAGTTTGGCACGTTTTGTTTGGAGGCAAGGATCTAATCCAGGAATAAATCGGCTGAACAGAAGGTATCGGTTACAAACAAATCTGTGGCTATCTTTTGAATGGCGGATTGTAATGACTTGAGCCCTTGAGAGAGCACTGACTTGACGTGGGTGGATTGATGCAACTTGGCTGAGGCCCTGGAAGAGTAGTGTTGGATGAGTTTGGACGCTATGTCCTTTCCTTTACCATTGGAACCTTTCATCCACAAAGGTGAAAATGTCGGATATAAGCTTTCCAGAGTGGCCGTCTCCCAACATCGGTCTTGCTTCCCTGGGTCGTTACTTGCCGAGTATGATTGATAAGAAGAGTGTGGGTCCCGGTTCACATTCAGTGAACCAGCTGGGCAACCTGCCTTCTTGGGACCAATGAGGGCATCAGTGGTATCTGGCGGTCGTCTGTCATTGGCGTCCGGTTTGCGCCGAGTCAGCTCCTTGGACCATCCAAGAGTTTCAACCACGGAGGTCCAGTTGAACCTGTACTTAACGGAAATGCCTCGGCGAATATGATTGAAGTCCTTCTTCAATGATTTGGTGAACGGTAGTAACTGTACAAACCCTTGCACAATGGTACAGTGCCCCAACCTAGCAAAATAGAAATACATAAGAACATTAGCATGATAGCTTGTTAGACATGATATGTAGATATAATCAACAGAAATAAAATCTTACGTTAAGATGTAATACTGACGATGCATCAATTCCTGACCATTGGTGGTGTCAGGAACCTCGGCCATTAGGGGGTCTTCATCTTCTAACTGAGGATTGTCCAGGGGTAGTCGCTTGCGGCCACAGAATAGCATACTGTGGATATTGGCCGTATTCCACCAGTTGACCCACGCCTTACTTTTGGGAAAGAGCCGGGACATTTGATCAAACTTATTGCGGAGAGACATCCCGCCAGGCTTGGTTGGTTCGAGAAGGTCAAGCGCGAGGCGTTCAAATTCGGCCTATGATAACATACATTGTTAGTCATTCATCATCAATAAAAGCTGAAGAGCAATGACCAAATCGTAAGACTTACAACTCAACTGGCATCCACTATGTTACAATTCTTCTTGACTTGAGTGATGGATTGACGATGGTGCTTGTGACAACCCTTCAACTTACTCAGGGCCTTAGCTGGATCATATTTGTTGAAAACTTTCATGTATGCGCTGACGAAGCCCTTCTTCTGGGCTGTCGAAAAGTCAACCACTTGTTGAATCCAAAGATCGCGCTCGTGGTGCGTGAGGTTGGTGGTTGAGGTTGGTGGTTGAGATTCGTTTGAGAAGGGTGGTGAAATGGGATTCGTAATGAGCTTTGTCAAGTCGCCACATCCAGGTGAGTTGAATGAGGACCCAACGATGCATCATGTTGCTATACATGGAGGTGGTGAGAAGATAACCGTGGTTGAAAAATTGGTAAGTCACATCGGATAGAAGTCCGCCTGAATAAACACGGTTGTCCTGATCCTGTCGCACAAGTTGCTCGGCCATCCATTCGGATTGGTAAGTGATGTGCACATTGGCACCTGAAAGCAACATTGATATCAATCTAAGACCGTTCCTGCACGGAAGAAAACCCAGAGGCAGTAAGTTTTTTGAATATCAACCGTAAACATGAGGAAAATCAAAGGACTTACCTGCCCCAATGCATAAGATCCATTATAAGCCTGTCACCCCCACCGTGACTCTCCTTTTTGGGCATCAGGCCCTTGTCAATGAGAACCTTGCATCGCAAGTAACCGAGGCGACCTCCGTTGGCAAAGGCAGGATGGATATCCACTACAGGAGTGGTGACGGTCTGTCCTGCACCAGCCTGCCCTACCTGAATCAAGCAAGGATAAGAAGTTAGTTAGTGTGCCTCCTTGAGAAAAAGAAATGGAGATAGCGAGATCAAAAGAAAAAAAGATGAAACATAAAGATGGGAAATGAGAGAAGAAAGGAAAAGAGAACAAAGACCATAGAAGAAAATAAAAAAGGAGAGAGAGCTTACCTTGAGGACCAAAGCAGCCTTTGGGTTGCTCACCAACTGATCCGTGAGCACTTGCATGGCCAGGGGATCCGCCTTTTTGGAAGACGGCCAAACATGATGATGAGTCCCCAAGTGCCTGAGTACACCCCAACCGGTCTGCTTTTTGATGTCGATTTGGCAGTTGGAGTCTAGACATTGTGTCCAGACGTGATTGCTGTCACATTTGACGGCAGGACATTTGGGATGACTGCATGGCGAAGAGAGAACAATGTCAGCGTGGGTGGATTGCAAGTCACACATAACAAAATCCAATCTAAAGGAAATGGAACTTACTCTTTGATAAGCTCGGATGCTTTGCCATCCGCGGTTGGAGGGGCAGCTGCATAGTCACAAAAGTCGTCGTCACAATGCAACACACCAAGGCATTTGAACCAGATCGTTTTCCAAGGCCCGTTCTTGGCGCCGTGATTCTTTTGAGTGTGCGGATACGCGATGTGGCCGAAGTTGGTTATTTGATCGGTAGGTTCTCGAACAAAGACTGTTTTGCCGTTGGGATAGATTGGGTAGCCTTCAGCATCACACATCAAACCGTGATCTATGAAGGTCTTCAGTTCTCCGGTGGCCGGGATTGGAATCTTGAACTTCTTGCCTGTCTTCTTCAGGCAATTGTGTTTCTTCTTTTGCTGTCCAGGAGAAGAGTTTACGACTGATTCACTGACTAGCTTGATTGGGTTATCAGGATCAATGATCAAATCGTG